AACACGACACCGACCACGACATCGACCACGACCACGACGCCGACGACGCCGACGACGACAACGATAAAGGCGACGACCGAGGCGGCGGCGACGACGACGGTGGCGGCTGCCGCCTCTCGAGGTGGAGGGGCAGCGGCAGGGATCGGAAGGCGTGCTATTGAGCCGTGGTGGAGGGGGAGGTGAACGAGGAGGAGAAGATAAGCAAAAGGAAGAAAGGGAGGAGGAGGAGGAGGAGGAGGAGGAGGAGGAGGAGGAGGAGGAGGAGAGGGAAGAAGGGGAGGATGAGGAAGAGGAGGAAGGGGGTGGAGGGGGGAGGAGGAGAAAGGGTTAGCGGTGGAAGCACGACGAACCACGACACTGACGGCGACGACGACCACGACGACGACGACGACGACGACGAACGACGACAACGAAGACGGCGGCGACGACGAACGACGACAGCGAAGACGGCGGCGACGGCGGCGGCGACCGCGAGGCCGGTGCGCCCGGGGGGGGGAAGAAGCCCGCCCGAGGCTCGCGCGGGGCGGGCGTGCCCGGCGCGGCGGGCCCGGCCACCTGCGGCGCGGAGGGGGGGGGGCCGCCGCTTCCCCGGGTAGGGGACGCCGCCGCGCTTCAGATAGAGGCCTCTGAGGAAAAAAAAAAAAAAAAAAAAAAGTCGGTGGGAAAAAAAACAAAAAAAAAAAAAAAAAAAAAAAAGCACACAGTCTGCGTGTTGGACAAAAAAAGTCTGTGCGTTTTTTCCCAACACACACAGTCTGTGTTTTTTCCCATAGACTGTGTGCTTTTGTTCCCACAGTGTGCGTTTTGTTTCCCACATTCTGTGTGTGTGTGTTTTCCCCACAGTGTGTGCGTGTGTGTGTTTCCCACAGGGTCGGAGTGGGTGGGGTCGGAGGATCCCGCCGCATCGCCGATACGTCGGCGATGCATCGGCGATGCATCGCCGATGCACCAGCGATGCACCGACGACGTCGACGACGCATCCGCGACGTCGGCGCGGGGAAGCACGGGCTCCACATCGAGCCGTATCGTCGATGCGTCGGCGACGCGGCGCGATCCTCCGACCCCGTCTGCTCGGACCCCATCTGGGAGGCCTACAATAATGGAAGCCGCTGCGCTTCAGACTCCTCCAGCCCACGGCGTCGAGATCTGTTCTCAGGAACTTCTGCTCAGCGAGCGGGGCTGGGGCGTGGACAGCGTGTCGCGCCGCAGGGTGGTGGGCCAAAACTGCCAGCGCGGCACGCTGAGCAAAAGCTCCCGACCGCTCTAATGCGGGACAGGCCCATCCTGGGCCCAGGAGCGCCGCGTACGCCACCCCCCAGCCAAGCCAGGGAGGCTAGAACACCGATCCGCTTCCCAGGATCGGCCTGGCCAGGAGCAGTGGATGCGTATAGATCTCGTCGCCCGACTCTCTCGGGAGGGGGGGGGGGAAGGAGTATCGAGCACCCTGGGGATCGCGTCCGAAACGAAATCCGAGCTCGGCCCTGGCATCGGGTGGGGTGTGTCACTTGTGCACCATGGCATCTGCTGAAGCTTTGTGCAAGAAGTCGAACGGCCTGGTTGGAAAAACAATTCATGGTCACCCTCAACCAGGCGGACACCGCTCTTGGGATGGATCCCCACGGAGTGCTCAAGCGACGGTCGCCTCTTTCCACTTCACTGTGGCGGTTTTCGGAGAACGGCCGGGGCAAGGAGCAACAAGCAACACCAGGCGACTGGATCCGACCGTGTGCTTCTCACACTTGCGGCACGCTAAAATCGGCTGCACGTAAGAGTGACCCTGGGCAAGAGTGACCTTTGGTGCACGGCTTCTTGGGAGGCGCGAGGAGGCCAAACGCAAGCGCGCAAGACGCGAATGTCGCAACGAGCGCGGCGATCGGGGGACCGCAGTGAGCGCGCACCAAATGGCCACTCCTGCGAAGGGTCACTCTTACGTCTAGTCGACAAAATCGAGCCTCTCCGTTGAAGAGCATGCCCGAGCGAGCGAAAATGACCCAGGGCCCCATCCCCGGCGTGCCCCCCTGCCCGCGAGATCACGACCGGGGCCATCGCTCGCGGGCTCTCCCTGGAGGGCGAGCTCGGTGTGACCGTGGCGGCGGCGCAGGCCGGCGTGGCCATCGGCTGCCCATGTGGACCTCGCATCGAAGGAGCGCCGGGCTGAGCAGCGCTTGCCAACGGGTGGCAGGCAAACTCTTTGAGGTCAGCGCGGTTCTCAAGATCTGAAATGGTGCTGCCGTGCGTGCGACGGCATTGCACTGCCTGCGTCGCCAGCCACTGCGGCCGCTCCGGCACCAGAACTCGTGAGAGCCCTCCGTGACTGACGGCTGCGGCGATGGGCCGCGTGCGGGCGCTCTCCCACGCTCAATCAGCCCAGAGGAGGCAGAGGGAGGAGGAGGGAGGAGGACGAGGAGGAAGAGGAGGATCGAGGAGGAGGGAGGAGGGAGGAAGGAAGGGGGAGGAGGAGGCAGAGGATCGAGGGAGGAGAAGGAGGAGGAGGAGGAGG